AACCATAACCTGTAAGTACCAATTGACAGGCTATTTCTTTGCAAATCGAAGTGACTCGAGGATTGAGAGACGCTGGTTACATGAGTGCAATTAAAATTATCTTCATAGCAGAGCAAGAAGGGGAAGCGTTCCTTATGAATCTCTAACCTCAAATTCCTCAACAGAAACCTGAGAAATAGCAATAGCACTTATACTTATATACCGCTTCACAGTGCTTTACATTCCTCTCTAAGCGGTTTACAGAGTCAAACCTATTGCCCCCAACAATCTGGGTCCTCATTTTGCCAACCACAGAAGGATGGAAGGCCATCAACCTCAAGCTAGTGAGGATCGAACAGTTGGTAGTTGGTAGCCTGCAATGCTGCATTCTAACCACGGCCCCACTATAGTCCTTTCTTCCTTCCTTTTCCTTCCTTCCTTCCTTCTCACTTAGCAATAGCACTTAGACTTATATACTGCTTCACGGTGCTTTACAACCTTCTTTCTTTTCTTCCTTCCTTCCTTCTCACTTAGCAATAGCACTTAGACTTATATACTGCTTCACGGTGCTTTACAACCTTCTTTCCTTCCTTCCTTCCCACTTAGCAATAGCACTTAGACTTATAAAGAGCTTCACAGTGCTTTACAGCCCCCTCTAAACAGTTTACAGAGTCAGCATATTGCCCACAACAATCTGGGTCCTCATTTTGCAGACCACAAAAGGATGGAAGGCTGAGTAAACCTTGAGCCAGTCAGGATCGAACTGCTGGCAGTCGGCAGAATTAGCCTGCAGTACTACATTCTAACTGTTGCGCCACCACGGCGCTTATGACTAAATTCTGGCTTTGGCCAAGAGCCATGCACCAGATACAGCATTGTTATCTCAGCCATGTCACAGGATGGAAAAAGAGACTCAGCCTTTTGACACTGGTACGAGGTGGCTCCAATTTCATCTAGCTTATTATTGGGGGCGGTAAGAGAGAGAAAGAGGCAGTTTGAAGGACACCGAATGACGCTGACTGTAGCCCTTTATAATTGCGTGTCCAGGTTTAGTGTTGTTTCTGTCTCTTAGTGGAGGTGTCTCGAACCCTTAGTTGCTAGAGGCAGAGATCAGCAGTCTTCCCTCTGGCCAATGTAGGCTTCTGAAAATGACAGTATCCAAATAATTCTTCATGAACTTTGAAGTGTTCTTTCCTTTGATAAGTGGGGCTTGCAGTATTCCTCAGTATTTCCTTCCAAGGGTGACATAGTCTATATCAGTGAAAGCGAACCTTTTCGGCACCGAGTGCTCAAACCAGAATGCCTGTGCATGCACTGGAGTGCCAGAAACCCGAACACCAGCTGGTGCACATGCCAGCCAGCTGATCTTTCGGTTTCTGGCATGCGTGCCGGCCAGCTGGTCTTCACATGTGCAAGAGCACCAGGAACCCGAAGACCAGCCGGCCCACACGGGCATGTCTGTTTTGGGCCATTTTTCAGGACGTTTTCTGGCGTGTTTTGGGGGTCGTTTTCTAGCAATCTGGCCCTTGCGACCACCAGTGCGCCAGAAACCAGAAGAGCAGCTGGAGACGGTATGCGTGCCCACAGAGAGGGCTCTGCGTGCCCCCTCTGGCATGCGTGCCATAGGTTCGCCATCACGGGTCTGTATTGAACATTGACGATCCTTGATTCTCTCCTTTTCATTCTCTCTTCCTAAAAGATGGTTTAAGAAGAAGTCCGCGGATCAAGCAACTGATGCAGGATAAATTTCTTTCCAGCAACATCCACTCTGTAGAGCCAAACAAGGGGAACACAGCACAAGTGCATTCTGCACAGCTAGAAGAACCAGGTGAGGAGAGAGATCTAATAGGGATGTGTTCTGACTTCCTCCTCCGTCCAGTAACGAATGCCGAGACAAGCTTAACTGGAATGTCCTTTAATAGAAAGACACCAAACCCTCGGTGTCTGAAAGCCAAGCAAAACAA